CCCTTCTTTCCCCCCGCAAACCCAATCCCGACTCCCTATTCCCGATCCTGCTCCCGCCTCATCCCCGCGCACCCATAGCGCCCCCTCCCAACTCCGACCTTCCCCCCCCGACCGCTGCAATACCGACTTAGTCCCCCCCCTCCACACCGCGCGAACCTTCTTCCCCCGCTGCGCCCCATTCTCCCCCTCCACCCACTTAGTTTATCATCAATCAAAAATTAGTTAAATTCTTAATTACTTTAAAGTTTAATTTTAATCCCTAAAATCTTTTTCAAAATACTTTTGTAACAATCTGAGATCAGCCCCTTCGAAATTTCTTTTGAAATACGTTGAAAGTTGAAACTAAGTAGTTAATACTTTGAAAGCTCATTATTTCCGAATTTATTTTTCTCAATTTCTTTAAATAAATCATCTCTTTTTGGAATACTTTTTATTTCTTTCCAAATTTCTTTGGAACTCCTTTTTGCAATTCGATTACGTTTTTATTAATCCTTTTCTGAAAATTTGAATTTGCTTTTTTTCATTGCTTCAACTATTCTCGAATAAATTCTCGACATTAATTCGGAAATAATCACCCTTTTCTGCAATTTCGAAATTTCTTCTGAAATATTATTTTTGAACCTTGAAAATAATTAAYTTTTACAAAATTATTTTGCAATTTCCTTGAAATATTTTGAAATTAATCAATCGGAATTTCCTTTTCCTCTTTGAAATTTCCTTGAATACTCTAGCATTAATCTCTTTTATATATACTCCGAATTCTTTCCGAAATTTTCTTGAAATTCCTTTAATTAATTAGTCCGTTTTTGAAATTTAAATTCATTTGAATTAATTCCTATTTCGAACTTCTTTTCGAATTATTTCTTCCAAAATTGCAACGGAATCTTTTTTTTTCTTTTTCGTAATTTGAAAATATGTTCTTTCGAAATTTCACATTTTCTTGTAAATAAATTTAAATATAAATCAGAATTCACTCTTTTGAAATTAATTACCTCTTCAAGCGTTTATTTTTTAAAATTTCGTTGAGCAAATTTCTCTTCTCCTAAAATTTTGTTCTACGGTTTTCTACCCATATTTTGAATTGATTTCGAATAAATAAAATTCCAAGTCGGAATAAATTTATTTACTCAAAATTAATTCCCACTTTCCCTTCCCCCCCAATCTTATTCCCTTCGAAATCTCGACAATTATCCTTATTTTGAATTTATTGATAAAGAAATTGTGTCCCCCATCCCCACATGCCACCACGCCAAACCAAGAACTCCCAACGCGCCGCCACCGACACCGCTGCTGGTGTCGCCGCCACTGCTGCTGGTGCATCCTCCACATCTGTTCCGGCCGCGTCCTCCACCCCCTCTTCCCCCAACATGGCTCAATCATCCATCAACATGTGTGATCTTCGCTCTGACTCCGTCGATAGCATTGCCCGCGAACTCGCAGGCAATCCGCCAACTTCGACCACCGCCACCCTAGAACTTGCAACTTTCCTCCGAACGTTGACCGCCCTCCAATCCTCCCTTGACACCATCAACACCACCATGGACGCCATCTCCGACCGTGTCACCACGCTCGAGGGAAACACCCCCGCCATCACGGTCGTCACCATGACCACACCCCCCTCCTCCACACCCCAAACCAACCCCTCCTCTGGACAAGCCTCCGCTTCAACCTCCACATTAACATCACCGCCATCTTCACCCACCACTACCTCCACCGTGGCCACTCCACCTCCCCTCTCGCCCAAGGCGAAAACCTCCACCGTCACACAGTCATCAACCATCCCCCCCAATTAAAACCCCTCTTATCCACCTCCACTATCACCTCAACTCTCCCCAACTACACTCAAATTATCCCACAAGTTGTGTATCCCGCTCCTCCACTACTTCTCCCAAATGCACTCATCCCCACTAACCCCGCCAACGATTTCACCCTGGTCGACTCCCCCCCCCCCCCCCTCGACTTCAATGCCCTTGCCGCCGTTACAAACAGAGAAGGCAAAATCCCCCCATCATTCCGCGCCAACGAGATCCCCACCTTCTCGGGCCAACCCCATGAGCACGTTCTCCTCTTCCTCACCAAACTCCAACAAGCCTTCTCCCTCCACGCCATCCCTGTCATCCACTGGCTCCCCATCGCTGGCAGTCGACTCCTAGACAAGGCGGCTCGCTGGTGGTACACCGAAATGTCTAATCGCCACCACTCCGGTCTCCGGCCTCACACCTTCCTTGAGTGGGCCACCCTCATCACCTCCACCTTCCGCCCACAAAAAACGGTCGACGACTATATCGACCAATTCTCCCGGCTCCAACAAAACGGCCCAACTGACCGTTTTGTGCAATACGTCCGCTCGCTTCGTCAACATATCCCGGTTGATATCGTCAGTGATTTCTCCTTCATCTCCCGCGTTAAGCGCGTATGCCATAAAGACCTAGCAGCCTCCCTTGTCCACGAGCCCCCCATGACCCTCGCCGACCTCCTCACTCGTACCCCCCAACTCGATCGCATCCTCTCCCCCTACAAGACCGCACTTACATCGGCCCCTCCCCGCCCTCGCTTCTTCCACAACATCGCCTCCGAGGACACCACCTCCACCACCTCCTCGGACGAGTTCACTACACCGGACCCCGACGCATCTTCCGATTCACTCGACTCTTCATCCCTCTCTTCTGAGGAACTCAATGTCGTTCAATTCATGAGGATGGAACGCAGAGATCGCAGCTCTCGACCACCCTCATCTACCCCACCCTCTCGCCTCAAGAAACTCACCCCCGAGGAGCGCACCTACCTCCAAGCAAAAGGGGGTTGCTTGCGTTGTCACCAATTGGGGCGCCAACAAACCAACTTCCCCAACGCTGCACAATTCACCCGCCAGTCCACCTCCACTCGACCCGCAACCTCTGCATCACCGCCCTCGGCAAGCGCGGGTCCCTCCTCATCATGAACACAGTCCCCAGGACATCGACCCGACATCGACACTGCGTCTATCGGCCCACCCATCAGTGACGTCCTCCGTCCCACCGATGGCTCATTTAGCATCGACCATTCGTCTACCAACCCCTCCTCCGGTGACGCACATCCCACCGGACAAACTTCGGGTGTCATAGTCTACTCCGCCTGCCCCCCTCCCGACGATGTCCCCTATTCCGTCGGATGAACCCTCCACTGCCACGTGTTCTTCCACCCTCTTCCCTAACCCATCCGCCACCACTTTCACGAATCTTGTTGAGGAACAAGCCCGACACGATCGGCTCATTAGATTAGGCCTCGAGCAACGCCGCCTCAACACTATGATCTCCTCTGCTTGTGCCGGATCCGTACAATTCCAGCTCAAGTTCATTCCCGTTCCCCTCGGTGCATCGACGGTGAAGTTAAGGGCCCTCCTTGATATTGGCGCCACCGGCAACTTCATCACCAACCCCTGTGTCCACAAAGCCGGCTTATCTTCCACCGGCTATGACTCCCCGATCACTATCCGCCTAAGGGACAAGGACTCAGCCGTCATCGTCGATCGCACAGTCCCTGAGACCACCATGATTGTTGGCCCCCTTCGCAATCAGGTCTCCTTCGATGTCATGCACCTTATGTGCGACATCGTCCTAGGGACCCCGTGGCTTGACCGCTACATGCCCTAATCATTCCACCCCTCCTTCGTCTGCCTCACCGACCCTCCCGACTCTCCCGTTGACGTCCCCTACCTTCTTCCCCCTTCCGCCCCACCCCCCGTCTCCCCACATCAATTCCTCCACATGTCCCGTGATTCCGTGAACACCGTGACTCCGCTTACTATTACCTTGTCATCGACCGCGAGCGTCCCAAGGACTTGCTTCCAACGGACAAACCCGACCAAGATCCTCCTTTTGATCCCCACATCACCGCCCTCCTCTCCGTATTCAAAGATGTCTTCCCCGAGTCCTTGCCCGTCGGTCTACCTCCCAATCGCGGTGTATCCCACACCATTGATCTTGAGCCCGACCACTCTCCTCCTTGTCGCCCCCCATACCAGCTCTCCGTCCCCGAGGCCGAAGAGATGAAGCGACAACTTAATGAACTCCTTGAGAAAGGATTCATTAAGCCTAGCTTCTCCCCCTTCGGAACCAGCTGTCTCTTCGTTAAGAAGAACGGCACCTCGGAACTCCGCATGTGCACAGACTATCGTGCCCTGAACCGGATCACGATCAAGAACAAGTACCCAGTCCCTCGCATATCCGAGCTTCTTGATCGCCTCCGTGGAGCCAAGTATTTCACCAAGATTGATCTTCGCAGTGGCTTCCAAATCCGCATCCGTGAGGAGGATACCCACAAGACCGCCTTTCGCTCTCGCTTTGGGCACTACGAGTTCCTCGTGATGCCCTTCGGACTCACCAATGCCCCTGCCACATTCCAATCTACCATGAATCATATCTTTCGCGACCTCCTCGAAGTCTGTGTCCTGATCTACCTTGATGATATCCTCGTCTTTAGCCCCACCTTTGAATCCCACCTCGAACACCTTCGCAAAGTTCTCTCCGTCCTTCAAGAACAAAAGGTCTACGCCAAGCTCAACAAGTGTACATTTGCTGCCCCTAGCGTAGAATACCTTGGTCACATTGTCTCGGCCGACGACATCCGCATGGACCCCAAAAAGGTCTCCCCCCTCGTCGAGTTCCCACCTCCCTCCACCTTGACCCAGCTTCGCTCATTTATTGGACTCGCCAACTATTACCGCCCCTTCATTCAAAACTTCACTGACGTCTCATACCCTCTCCATGAGCTCACCCGCGCCACCGACTCCTTCACATGGACTGAACGCTGCCAAGCCGCTTTCGACAAACTCAAGCAACTCATCACCACCGCCCCCGTCCTCAAGATCGTTGACCCCACTCGCCATTTCTTCGTCACCACTGATGCCTCAGACTTCGCCATTGGGGCTGTCCTGTCCCAGCATTTCCCTCCTGACCCCACCGAGACCCCCTCTGTCAAAGATTCCCCTACTCACTCAAAGTCCCCACCCAGCGAACACCCCATTGCCTTCGCTGGCAAGAAACTCCTTCCCGCGAAGATGAATTACCCCTCCAACGAGAAGGAACTCCTAGTCGTGGTCTACGCCCTCAAAGTCTGGCGCCCGTACCTCGACGGGCAATATTTCACCATCCGCACTGATAACACAGTTGTCTCCTCCATCCTTACCAAGAAAGACATCACCCCCCGCCAAGCCCGATGGCTAGACTTCCTTGCCCAGTTCACCTTCACCATCTGCCACACCCCCGGCAAAAGCAACCGAGTTGCTGATGCCCTCTCCCGCCGCCCGGACCACAAGCCCCTGAGGAATTCTACGCCGCCATGACCCACATTCAACTTTTTCCCTCGTTACATCGCCGCTACACCCAAGGTTACCTCTCTTGCCCAGACTTCGCTTCTATTTACTACCAACTCCGCAACCTTGACTCAGTCCTTGACTACTCTCTCCATGACAATCTACTCTACATTGACACCAAGGGCACTCGCTGACTCTGCATCCTTGATGCACGTGGTCTTCGTACCCAGCTCTTGGCCGAGCACCACGACACCAAGACCACTGGCCACCTCGGTTTCCAGAAAATCTTCGACACCATCTCTCGCTACTTCCATTGGCCTTCTCTACTCGCCGACATCAAAGCATACATCCGCTCGTGCCCCACCTGTCAGGCCGTTAATCCCTCGAACCGGGCCAAGCCTGACAAGCTCCAATCATTGCCCATCCCTACCCACCGGTGGCAGTCCATCTCCATGGACTTCGTGTGCGGCCTCCCCAAGACCGACTGTGGGCATGATTGCATCTATGTCATTGTTTGACCAAACGCGCCCACTTCATTCCTTGTACCACCTCGCACAATGCCAAAGACATCGCCATACTCTTCTTCGATTGTGTCGCTCGCCACCACGGTCTCCCCGAGAACATCATCAGTGGCCAGGATCCCCGCTTCCTATCACAGTTCTGGAAACACCTCTTCCAAGCCTACGGAACAACGCTCAAGTATAGCACTGCATTCCACCCCCAGACCGATGGCCAGACTGAGAAGATGAACGATACTCTCCAAAGAATTCTACGGAAGCATTGTCATCCACACCAACATGACTGGGATCAATTGCTCACAGCCGCCGAGATTGCCTACAACAACGTTGTCTGCCCCTCCATTGGCACGTCCCCTTTCTACCTCGACCTTGGCTACCATCCCGGCTTGCCTTCTGATTTCTTGCTTCCCTCGTAGCTCAGCCCCTCCACCCCTTGCCCCTATCTCAATGAATGGGTAGCAACAATGAACAGACTCCTCAAAGAAGCAACCAAAGTCCTTGAAAGAACACAAGAACAACAAGCAAACAAGACTAACAAACACAGACGTGACGTGTCATTCAAAGTAGGGGACAAAGTCTGACTTTCTGCCAAACGCTTTGAACTTGAACAAGGCTCATCCAAGAAACTCTCGAACAAGTGGCTCGGTCCCTTCCCCATCATTGAACAAACTTCCCCCGTGAATTACAAACTTCAACTTCCACCTAACATGCGTCACGTCCACCCAGTCTTCCACGTAGAATACCTTAAGGAATACCACAAATCCCCGCCCCTGTTCGCTGACCGCCCTTATCCTAGACCTCCACCAATCATAGTTCCAATAGGCCCAGAATTCATAGTCGAATCAATCATAGGACGAAGAACAACTCAAGTATCAGATCACCCGGAACCAATCACCGAATACAAAGTAAAATGGACCGGATACCCKGATGAAGAATCAACATGGGAACCCCTTGATAATCTCAAGAATGCCATGAAACTTGTTYGTGCCTATSATCGTGCCTACCCTGTRTCCTAACTATACCCCGACATAAACCCTAAACCCTCGCTTAAAACCCTGCTACAACCTCGCAACCCTGCTCTACACACACGCTTGAACCCAACCCACCCTCCCCTCGACCCTGATTCCTGATGTTTGATCTGCCCTTGCCCTCGCCTAGCCTTGTCCCATCTGTCCTCTCCACTACCTTGTCTCTCTTGTCCAATGCTTGTGGACCTGCGTGATGCTGGCGATAAAGGATCTAATGGCAAACGCACGAGGACGATGGCCTGCTGCCTCACTGATCATGGAGATTATGCAGCTGGTTTGACCACCATGTTGTTTCATCGGCCGGCATCCCGACTCGCAGACTTACTGGAGCCGCAACTTGTGACATGGATCTTTGCATTAGTCTGCGACTTCCTTGCTTCCAGATCAGACCTCATTGCAGTTCGTGTACCGGACGCACCCTAGCACTTGGATTTTGGACATTTGAACAACTGCTACGCTTCTTGGACTTCTACCTGTTGCAGTCGCTGAGGACCGCTTCTACCACCTACTCCAAGACCTGATAAAGACCGTTGCAGATCCCCTTTCAAGACACTTGGACACTTTGTTCCTACATGAGATTTTGCTTCCCACTCCTTTGGACATACCAGCCCCTGCATCCTGAACAAGCACTTTCATTTTTCCTGACAACCCTGTAGAACATCATTAGAAAATCCTTGTTCCCCTAACCATTGTTTCCCTTACTCACTAGAACATCAATAGAAATTCCTTGTTTCCCTGACCATTGTCCCCTTACCCAGTAGAACATCAATAGAAATTCCCTGTTTTCCTGGACATTGTTTCCCCTTACCAAATAGAACATGAATAGAAATCCCTTGTTCCCTGAACATTTCTTAGCTTCCCCTGTAGACCTACCCAATTACATCATACCTTCACCTGTGCAGAACATCTGACAGAATACCCTGTGACTTGCATCACTCCCCTTCTCCTTTTCCGACCAGTGATCGGCCCCGTCCCGTCCTTCACAGTTCCTTTTTTGTTTCCTTAGGTTTTTGGCAGCCGGGACGTTGCCTTTCAGAGGGAGGGGATAGTGTTACGGACTCCGCTAGGACTCGACCCCTGGTCTATTTTGTTGTTGTTTTTGCTACATCCCGTTTTTGGCCTGGCACCCTTTTTCCAAACCCCTCCTTTGGTACTGTCGGATTTTGGACAACTTGCGCCATGCTACAATTCGGGCGCCACTTTCAAATACTGTATTTTTCAGTTCTGCCCTCGGGGCTTTTGCAGAGATGCCCCTAGTACCGTACGTGTCACCGACACTTATACCGGTTCCCGTTACAGTACGGGGAACCAGTCTCGTACCAGTTTCAACTGCTGTACCCGTACTCAGTGGTACTGGCTCTTGTTTTCGGCATTCGGAATCCAAGACTTCGACTTTGTGTCCTTGCCACTGTGTCTGCGTCCGACCCTCAGTCGTGTCGAGTGAGTGAGTGTGTGTGTGTTCTCTCACTCTCTCCCTCTCTCCCCCCTCTCCCTCGGCTCTCCCTGTCTCCCTCAGCCTCGCGCTCGTTACACTGATCCTGACAAGCAATTTATAGTAACCACGGATGCCAGCCAATATGGCATTGGTGTCGTGCTTGCGCAGCAAAAGGGGC